CTGCACCCCAGTCTGGGCGACAGAGTGAGACTCCAACTCAAAAAAATAAAAATAAAATAATAAAATAAAAAAAAATAAAAGTCATTATTCCTATCCTTGTTTTTCATTTCTCAGGAAACACTAGCGAACTTGGAGAGACAGATCTATGCTTTTGAAGGAAGCTACCTGGAAGACACTCAGATGTATGGCAATATCATTCGTGGCTGGGATCGATATCTGACCAACCAAAAGTGAGTGTCAGAAGTCTGTAGTGTTCCTATTGTGTCCTAATAACATTTGTTTGTAGGACTGTGTGCCCTTGGGTAGCAACTTTGCAGGAGGCAGAAGTAAAATGGTGATGTGGAAAGAGGTCTAAACTTGAACTTGGATTCTGCTTAGCCACTGCTTCACTGAGTAATCTTGGACAAAGTCCATATCTGTAAAATAGGGAAAGTCGGGCCTATGGCACAGGGTTATATGAAGCTTAAATGAAATACACAATAGTATTTTATTAGTTTGTCCACATTTTAATCAGTCATGGATTTTCACCCTCACGGTTTTTTTTTTTATTAGAAAATATGGTTTATTTCAAAAGTAAATTAGAGAGGAGAGGAAATTCACCTCTCCAAGACAGGGAAACAGGCCAATGCCAGGAACCATGGAGGCAGCCTTAGCTTAAAGAGCACATGGCCATGCCAGAGTCTAGTAAGGCAGTGGCACCCTCACAGTTTTTGCCATACCTGTGTGCCAACTGTGCATTATTTACTTAGTAATATGCTTTCAAAATTTCTACACTTTTGGAAAATTTTCATATCTGTAGAAATATTGAATGACTAGTACATGAACACTTGATACCCTCCACTTATATTCATAAATTGTTAACGTGTTGCCACATTAACTTTCTCTCTCTTTTCCCCTCTATAATAAAAGCACGCTGGATTGCCTGAGCCTGCAGGTTTGAGACCCACCTGGGCAACTTGGCGAGACTTCATCTCTACAATAAATAAAAAAATTAGCCGGGTGTGGTGGCGCGCGCCTGTAGTTCCAGCTACTTGGAAGGCTGAGGCGGAAGGATCGCCGGAGCCCAGCAGGTCGAGGCTGCGATGGCCAGGAGCATGCCACTGCACTCCAGTCTGGGTGACAGAGTGAGACTCCAACTCAAAAAATAAAATAAAGTAAAATAAAAGCACGCATTTATATCTAGTTAACCTTTTTTTCTATTTTGAAATAATTATAAATTCATAGGCATTTGTAAAAATAGTACAGGGTCGGGTGTGGTGGCTCAGCCTGTAATCCCAACACTTTGGGAAGCCGAGGCAGGAGGATTGCCTGAGCCCAGGGATTCAAGACCAGCCTGGGCAACTTGGTGAGACCTTGTCTCTATAATAAATCACAAAAACTGGCTGGGCGTGGTGGCATGTACCTGTAGTTCCAACTACTTGGAAGGTGAGGCGGAAGGAACACCTAAGTCCAACAGGTCGAGGCTGTGATAGCAGTGAGTGTGCCACTGCAATCCAGCCTGGGTGACAAGAGTGAGACTCCAACTCAAAAAAAAAAAAAATAGTACAGTTGTATTTTATGTAACTTTAATACAAAACCAGGAAATTGACATTGTTACAATGTTGATATATAGTTCTATGTCAGTGTATCACACGTGTAGATTCTTGTAAGCACAATCAAGATACCGAACTATTTCATCACCACAAAGATCTTCCTCATGATACTTATGGTTATATCCACCTGTCTTCCTGTACTTTTTTTTCCAGCTAATTCATCTGAAAGTTAGATGCAGATATCCCGACACTTTGCATCTAAATATGCCAGGGATTACCCCATGAGAATAAACATTTCACCTACCTAATCATAGTTGTTATACCTAGAAAATCAGCAGAACATTAATAGTATCATCTGATACACAGTCTTTATTAAAATTTCCTCATCCGGGCTCGGTGGCTCAGCCTGTAATCCTGCGCCTTTGGGAGGCTGAGGTGAGTGGATTGCCTGAGCCCACAGGTTCGAGACCCGCCTGAGCAACTTGGTGAGACCTCATCTCTACAATAAATCAAAAATTATTGTCTGGGCAACAGAGTGAGACTCCAACTCAAAAAAAAAAAAAAAAATTTCCTCAATTGTCCCCAGAATGTTTTGCTACTTTGTTTTGAGTCAGGATTCAGTAAGCATTCACACATTGCATTTGGCTATTATGTTTTAAGATTTAGTAGAATCACCCTTTTTGGTAATGGTTGTGCTGGAGTTCAAGACATTGCCTTGCACAGTATCCCAATTTCAGATTTTTCATATTTTGACCTTATGAGAGATTCTTTAAACATGTTTGGCAAAAACATTACATAAGCGATTTGTGTCCCTTTTGTTATCTATCTCTGTTTGGAGGTACATAATATCAGATTATCCTATTATTGGTGATGTGAAGTTTGGACATATGATTTCTCTGTTAGACAAGTTCATTTTTTCCCATTGTGATTGTGATTATACCGCTCGCTCCCTCCAGTTTTTTTTTCTTTTTTTCTTTTTTTTTGAGTCAGAGTCTCACTCTGTCACTCGGGGCTGGAATAGAGTGGCACGATCATGGTAACTACAACTACAACCTGCGGGGCTCAGGCATCCTTCTGCCTCAGACTTCCAAGTAGCTGGGACAACAGACATGTGCCACCATGCCCTGCTAATTTTTAAAAATTTTTTGTAAGCCAGGCTCGGTGGCTCAGTCTGTAATCTCACACCTTGGGAGGCTGAGGTGAGTGGATTGCCTGAGCTCGTGGGTTCGAGACCCGCCTGGGCAACTTGGCAAGACCTCATCTCTACAATAAATCAAAAAATTAGCCGGGCATGATAGTGCACGCCTGTAGTTCCAGCTACTTGGAAGGCTGAGGCGGAAGGATCACTGGAGTACAGCAGGTCGAGGCTGTGGTGGCCGGGAGTGGCCACTGCACTCCAGTGTGGGCAACAGAGTGAGACTCCAACTCAAAAAAAAAAAAATTTTTTTTTTGTAGAGATGAGGTTTCACCGTGTTGCCCAGGCTAGTCTTGAACTCCTGGGCTCAGGTAATCCTCTCACCTTGGCTTCCCAAAGTGCTGGGATTACAGGTGTGAGCCACTGTACTTGGCTTCCCTCCATTTTTTTGTTTTTGTTTTTGTTTCTGTTTTTTGAGTTCAAGTGTCACTCTGTCGCCCAGGCCAGAGTGCAGTGGCATGCTCACGCCTACTGCAGCCTTGACCTGCTGGGCTCAGGCAATCCTTCTGCCTTAGACTTCCAAGTAGCTGGAATTACAGGTGTGTACTACCATACCTGGCTAGTTTTTTGACTTATTTTAGAGATAAGGTCTTGCCAAGTTGCCTAGGCTGGTCTGGAACCCCTTTGCTCAGGCTGTCCTCTCACCTTGGCTTCCCAAAGTGTTGGGATTACAGGTATGAACCACTGTGCCTAGCCCTTCCAGATTTTTATTCAGTTGTTTTAATATCCATTGTTGATTCTTATCTGAATCATTGAATTAGTCATTACACTGGAAGTTGCAAAACGGTGATTATTCCTCTCATAATAACTGGCTTTTTTTTTTTTTTTTTTTTTTGAGCCAGAGTCTTGCTCTATGGTCCAGGCTGTAGTGCAGTGGTGTGATCATAACACAGTGCAGCCTTGAACTCCTGGCCTCAGGCAATCTTCCCACCTCAGCCTCCTGAGTAGCAGGTACTACAGGCGTGTGCCACTATGCCCTCCTAAGTTTTTTATTTTTTATAGAAACAAGATCTTGCTATGTTGCCCAGGCTAGGCTTAAACTCCAGGCCTTAAGTGATCCTCCCGCCTTAGCCTCCCAAAGCACTGAGATTATAGGCATGAATCACCATGGCTGGCCTATTACTGGCATCGTGTAGAGTTTTCCTTTTTTATCTTCTCTCTTTCATTTTTTTTTTTAAAGCATGGTCAGGCCAGGCTTGGTGGCTCAGTCTGTAATCCCAGCACTTTGAGAGGCCGAGGCCAGTAGATTAACTAAGCCTGCAGTTTCAAGACCAGCCCGGGCAACTTGACGAGACCTCATCTCTATAATAAATCAAAAACGTAGCTGGGCATGGTAGTGTGCACCTGTAGTTCCAGCTGTTGGGAAGGCTGAGACGGAAGGATCGCCAGAGCCCAGCAGGTTGAGGCTGCAGTGGACGAGAGGCGTGCCACTGCCTTCCAGCCTGGGTGACAGAGTGAGACTCCAACTCAAAAAAAAAAAAAAAAAAAAGGCATGGTCAGAGGGAGCCTCCTAAAGATGGTTTCTTTGTCCTTTTGGCATGGCCCTATTAGTCTTGGAGCACTTTGTTGCTTTCTGGCCCAAAAGATGCCCCCCCCCTTTTTGCCCCAGACCTGATATCATAGCTATGTAGTAAACTATGATTTCTCTAAATATCCCTGATTCTATCTTTAAATTTGAAAATTAAGTTTATTTAAAAGACATTTTGGTTGGGCTCAGTGGCTCAGCCTGTAATTCCAGCACTTTGGGAGGCCAAGGCAAGTGAATTGCTCGAGTTCGTGGTTTCGAGACCAACCCGGGCAACTTGGCGAGACCTCGACTCTATTAGCTGGGTGTGGTAGTGCGCTCTTATAGTTCCAGCTACTAGGAAGGCTGAGGTGGAAGGATTGCCAGAACCCAGTGGGTCGAGGCTGTGGTAGCCTTGAGTGTGCCACTGTACTCCAACCTGGGCGACGGAGTGAGACTTCAACTCAAAATAAATGAATGAATGAATGAAGCCTGGGTGAAGGAGTGAGACTTCAACTCAAAATAAATAAATTGATGAATGAATAAATAAATACATAAAGACATTTCTCTGGGTATAGTGACTCATGCTGTAATCCCAGTACTTTGGGAGGCTGAGGCTAGAGGATTGCCTGAACCCAAGAGTTTGAGACCAGCCTGGGCAACATGGCGAGACCTTGTCTCTACAATAAATAAAAAATATTAGACAGGGATGGGAACATGCGCATATAGTCCCAGCTACTTGGAAGACTGAGGCAGAAATATTCCCGAGCCCAGCAGATAGAGGCTTCGATGGCTATAAGTGTGCCACTGTACTCTAACTTAAACAACAGAGTGAGATTCTGACTCAAAAAACAAAAGACATTTCATATCACTAGTCTGTGTTAGTCACTTTTAATTATAAACATTAAAATAAATGTATACTAAAATGAAAATGAAACAATCTCATCCCATTGTGAGACACATAGCATACATTGGAAAACATTGCTTTCTATATGGACATTCAGCATAAAGGTTGTTTGGGCCAATCTAAGTGGTTGTGAAAATACTGCTTCTTATGTGGAACTTGGTTAAAGAAAAACAAACCAGTTCTTTATATAAGTCCTGGGGCATCCCCAACTTGAGCCATTGGCATCGCTTGGTGCTTATAGTGAATTTCCTCTGTGTGTTTTAGAAATTCCAATAGTAAAAACGATAGAAGGAACCGGAAGTTTAAGGAAGCTGAGCGACTCTTCAGCAAATCTTCAGTGACATCAGCAGCCGTAAGTGGTGGTGGTAGTGGTGGGGAAATCTTACTATGGCCTGTTGTTGGAGAATGGGAGTTTTCTCTTTCCCTTCCTCTGGGAGTACTCTCCTGAGGTCTGTGGTCACTTTTCTAGTAACTGGTGGCTTTTCTTTTAGGCAGTAAGTGCATTGGCAGGAGTTCAGGACCAGCTCATTGAAAAGAGTAAGTTCATGTTTTTACTTTTCTCATCAGTGTGTTTTTAAGCTACCGTAGCACCTGTATTTAATTCATATTCAATTGTGCAACTGAAGACTGCATCTCTTACTCTCTTCTCTCTTCTTTCCAGAAGTTGGGAACCCTTTGGGGTGTCCTTAATCATGTTTTTCTTTCGAGGAAGAAACTACCATGCTGTTCTTGCCTCTTCTTTCACATGAGGGTTAGCTTTAGTGTCTCAAAGACATGAAGAAATGTCTTCACTCCTGTTAAATTTTATAAATTCTTAGGAAATTTTTAAAAGTTAATAACTTTTATGGAAAAATTTAAACATACCGATATTTCCCTATGTGCCTAATTTAAAAATTCTTAGGAAATTTTCATTCTGCAAACAACTCTGTGTTCTTAAATGCAAAGTGGAGACTAAGTACCATTTACTTTGCAAACAAATTATATCATTTTCTGCATGTGAACCATACAGTCTAGTGCTATTCTAATTTGTGGGGGTGGGATATAGATTTGTACCTTTACCCTTCTGAGTCAGACTCTAACTGTATTGGATGTTCCCTCTGTGTATCGGATCACTTTGAATGTAATCTGTTATTTATCACTGTGTGTATCTTTCAGATAGTGTATCTTGTGGGATCCAGTTCTTTGTATGATTTGAGGAAAAGGAATTTTAGTAGTTTGGAAACTAGAACTACTCAGTTACTGGATATGGTGGCTCACACCTGTAATCCCAGCACTTTGGGAGGCTGAGGCAAGGAGATTGCCTGAGCCCATGGGTTCAAGACAAGTCTGGGCAACTTGGTGAGAGCTCATCTCTATGATTAAAAAAAAGAAAATTAGCCGGCCATGGTAGCACATGCCTGTGTTTCCAGCTACTTGGAGGGCTGAGGTGGAAGGATCACCTAAACCCAGCAGGTTGAGGCTGCAGTGGCTGTAAGCATGCCACTGCACTCCAGCCTGGGTGACAGAGTCTGACTCAAGGGAAAAAAAAAAGAGAGAGAACTACTCAGTTATTATCTTTATGTACAGGTTTCTCAATTTGTTGCTCTTTCCTGATGTATGTTACCTTCTAGACATTTTCACTCAGATATTCAGACTCAAACATCTTACCTAAAACAACTGTCCTATTTCCTTCAAAATTTGGCTTCACTGTTTTTTTGTTCTGGTATTTCTCCTTCATTTAGAACTCTTTAGACATCTTTGCTTTCTTTCTACTAACCTAATCAGTTATGCCAAAAGTCAAGGCCACATGATTTTTCTTTTCCTATGAGTCTCAGCTAAAGCTTATTTCTTTTCTGTTAATACCACTTGAACAAAGTAGAACTGTTTCTGTCCTTTGTAGAATAACAAGACTGGTTAAGGCAATCCTTCCACTTCAACCTCCCAAGTACCTGAGACTACAGGCACGTGCCACTATGCCTGGCCTTTTTTTTTTTTGAGTCAGTCTCACTCTCACCCAAGTTGGAGTGCAGTGGTGGGATCACAGCCACCACAAACTTGACCTATTGGGCTCAGATGATCCTTTCACCTCAGCCTACAGGTGCACACCACCATACCTGGCTAAATTTTTGATTTATTGTGGAGCTGAGGTCTCGTTATGTTGTCCAGGTTGGTCTCAAACCCCTGGACTCAGGCAATCCTCTTGCCTTGGCCTCCCAAAGTGCAGGGATTATAGGGGTGAGCCACTAGCCAATTTTAAAATTTTTTTGTAGAGATGAGGTCTCACTATGTTGCCCAGTCTGGTCTCAAACTCCTGGGCTCAAGCAATCCTCCCTTCTTGGCTTCCCAGAGTGCTGGGATGATAGGTGTGAGCCACTGTGCCTGGCAAGAAACATCTTGGATCTCACTTCTTCAAGCTGAGATAGAATGATGTCTGACTCACTTTTCACGAGAGCCTGTAATCCTGCCTTGGGTTAGCTGATAATTCAGCATGTGACTCTGTACCTGTCTACCCACACAGAATAGCTACCCCTAGGTACTTGCCAGGAAAAGATTCTTAAAGTCGCTGCTTTTTTTTTTTTTGAGTTGGATTCTCACTCTGTCGCCCAGACTGGAGTGCAGTGGCCGCTCCCAGTCACCGCAGCCTCGACCTGCTGGCCTCCGGCGATCCTTCCGCCTCAGCCTTCCAAGTAGCTGGAACTACAGGCGCGTACTACCACGCCCGGCTAATTTTTTGATTTATTGTAGAGATGAAGTCTCGCCTGCCCAGGCGGGTCTCGAACCCGCGGGCTCAGGCAGTCCACTCACCCCAGCCTCCCAAAGGCGCGGGATTACAGGCTGAGCCACCGAGCCAGCTGGCTAGACGCTGCTTTTTGAAGCTTGCCTGAGACAAACACTTATGTCTTAAAAGTTTTTTATAGTATATGCAGGCCATTCTCCTAAAATCTTCAGTCTGGAGTAAACTACACTCCCAGAGAGCATCATATTGCTTGTTGGTTTTCCCTTCAAATTTATTTCTGCTGAATTATACTTTGTTTCTCCAAAATGTGTGACTGCATATTGTAAGAGGATGTTGCAGATGTTGTTTATTATCATTATCAATTATCTCCTTTAGAAATAGTTTTCCCTGAACAAAGTTTTTTTTTTTTAACTGAAAATCTTGTAACTGCCTCATTTCTTCTTTGTGTGGGCACTAAAATGTTTAAAGTCAAATTTGTGGTTCCTTTCTAGCAAGCAAATAGGAATTTATAGCATGCATTTTGGGAATGAATCTTAACACAGCATCCAGTTTTAAAAGGAGACAGGAAAATCCAGTTATTTTTCTCTTCTGTTTCTCTTTGTGCTACTTTTCTCATTTTATTGGATTTCATTATATAAACCTTGGTAAACAGCCTTGAATTCTTTTTGGACTGAAGCAGAATATAGAGAATTACATAAATACTGGAGTTCATTAGTCCAAATGGTCAGAGCCTCTTCACAGTAATTCTGTTGCATTCTCTCTCACCACTTCATCATTACCACTCCATGCTGCTATTTTTTTTTTGGAGTTGGAATCTCACTCTGTTACCCAGACTGGAGCGCAGTGGCAGGCTCATTACCACCACAGCCTCAACCAGCTGGTCCTTCTGCTCAGCCTTCCAAGTAGCTGGAACCACAGACATGCGACACCACACTTAGCTGATTTTATTATTTATTGTAGAGACAAGGTCTTGCCATGTTGGCTCAGGCTGGTTTTGAACCCCTGAGCTCAGGCAGTCCTCTTGCTTCTGCCTCCCAAAGTGCTGGAATTACAGTCGTGAGCCTCTGTGCCTGGCTTTGTTGCTATTTTTTAAGATTTTATTTTTGTCTTGATTTGCTGCAGTTAACTGCAAGGCATCTAAGTATGAATTTCTTTGTTTTTTCATCTGACTTGGGTTTTGTTGGGCTTCTTGAAACTGTGATCTGGTATTTTTCATTGGTTCTTGAAAATTCCTAACTATGATCAGACATTGCATTTGCCCCATGTCTTCTTTCTTCTCCTGCTGGCACTCTGGTTAAATGTATTTTTTTTTTTTTTTTGAGTTGGAGTCACATTCCATTGCCCAGACTGGAGTGCAGTGGCACACTCCTGGCCACTGCAGCCTCAACTCGCTGGGCTCTGGCAATCCTTCTGCCTCAGCCTTCCAAGTAGCTGGAACTACAGGTGTGCTCTACTGCACCCAGCTAATTTTTTGATTTATTGTAGAGATGAGGTCTCACCAAGTTGCCCGGGCGGGTCTCGAACCCACAGGCTCAGACAGTCCATTCACCTCGGCCTCCCAAATCGCTGGGATTACAGGCTGAGCTACCGAGCCCGGCCTGGTTAAATGTATTTAAACTTCATTTTATCCTTTATGTTTTTTATCATCTCTTCTGTCTTTTTGTCTCTGTGCTGTATTATGAGCACTTTTTTCCTGACTTATCTACCAATTCACTAATTCTCTTCTCAGCTGTGTCTGATGTACTATTAAACCTCCCCTCGATTTTAAATCTTTTGATTTTGCATTTTTATTTTATTATTTTTTAAGTCAAAATCTCACTCTAACACAAGGCTGGAGTGCAGTGGCACACTTAATGGCCACCACAGCCTCAGCCTGCTGGACTCAGGTGATCCTTATACCTCTGCCTTCCAAGTAGCTGCAACTACTGGCATATGCTACCATGCCTGGCTAATTTTTTTAATTTACTGTAGAGATGAGGTCTCACCAAGTTGCCCAGGTAGTCTTGAGCCCCTGGGCTCAGGCAATCCTCTCACCTCTGTCTTCCAAAGTTCTAGGATTATAGGCATGAGCCACCAGCCCTGACCTGTTTTTGCATTTTTAATTTTCAAAAATTTTACAAAAATTATTTTAAAGATCAGTGATTTAATTTTTCAATAGCTTTCTCTGCAGTTACTTTCAAACTTGTCTTTTATTTTAAGCATAGTAAGCATTGTTGTTCTGTAGTCTGTGGTTTATTTCAATCTCTGAAATCTAATTTCTTTGTGTGCTAGGTTATCTTTGACTATATACTGCTTATGTTATTAAAAGTATTTAGTAAAATAATTTGAGGGCTAGGAGGAAGACACTGTTTTCCAGATGACTTATGTTTGCTTTTACTTCTTCAAACCAGGCGTAAGGCTTGGGGGTTCCTGGAAGATGCAGATGATTAAAACCAAACTAATTCTATGAGAGGAAAGGTCTACTTTGCCTTTCACTTCTTTTCCTTTGTACAGAGACCCACCCTCCAGTGTTTCAGAATTTATGTGTGACAAATTTTGTGGAATGAGTTCTGTGTTTACAAATACCTTTGGTTTTTAATGGCAATAAAGCAAACATTCTTTTCTCTTAAAATTTTGACTAGCATATTCTTAGGTTTCAAGGGTTTTGGAGTTTTGCACTTTCAGGATTTTATTTTTAAACCATTCTGAACATTTTGCTCAAAAATGCATTACTTCTGCTTCTTTTGGCTTCATATGTACCCAAACTAAAATGATAGAGTGGATTTGCATAATCCCTCAAGGGAAATTTTGGGCAGATTTGTGAAGCATTGTGTAATTTGTT